CACACACACACACACACACACACACACACACACACACACACACACACACACACACGTTAACAATGTGTGGCTTCCACATGTATTTCTTGCTGACCCTCTGTCAGCTTTTTTGGAACATGTTGCAGCATCAAATTCAAAATGAGTGAATATTTACAAAAAAAAACAAAACAATAAATTTTAACCGTTTGAACGTTAAATATGTGACCCATCATATCAAAATGAGGATTAAGTCAAATTTGGTCAAAATGACCTAATTACATTTTCAGATTCCTGCTTTAAATGTTATATTTTGATACCTGGATCATTCTGATATCATAATTAAATCCATATATATGACTTAATTTGTCTTGTTGGTTACAATAATACATAAATATTTAGCCTGAATCCTAATTTTATGTAATTTTAATGAAGAATTTTTGATGTCCTTATAAAAAGGAAACCTCAAATTAAAATTGAGTGAGATTATCCAGCTGAAGAGAAATAAAACTTTACTAACTCACAGGGAAAACCTCAAAATTTTAAGGAATTTCTCCTCAAAATCAGTTTTTTTGTTGCTACTGCTCAAAAAAGTGCTTCAAATTTTGTTTTATGATTATATTTCAGACACTTCATTCAAATGATACATTAATAAGGCATTTATTCTTTATGTTTTGACAAAAGGCAAATTTTGCAACTGTTTTAATCAAAACACTATATTTGTCTTCTTCTCCTTATACCACTTTTAGGTTTAATCCTCGTTTCGATGTGACGGGTCACATATATTGTCTTTGCTGTGTATTTAATTGAATATAAGTTGGAAAGGATTTGCACATCATTGTTTTCTGTTTCTCTTTCTGCAACTCTTTGTGTTTCAGTGGTAAACACACAGCTACAGTCAGTAAAACCAGATGTTTGTTGTCTCTGTGATGAGGAACAAATGAAAGCTAAACAAATGTTTGCTGATCTGGTTTCTCCTCCTTCAGTTCCAGCAGCTCTGGATGTCTGTCAGAGACCGTCAGTGGTCCCGCTCTCGCCCCCCACTGAAAACAGTCACCTCCCCTGGAAGGGCGGTGTGGGCTCTCCTCCCCCCTGCGTGTCTGTGGAGGCCACAAAGATCATCCCCGTGGACCTGCAGCAGGCCTGGAACCAGAGCATCTCCTCCCTGGAGAGCGTTTCTTCACCGCCCGCCCCCGCCGAGCCCGTCCACCCACGGGTCAGCGCCCTCTCCAGGCTGGGAGGACCCCGCCCCGCGTCCTACACCGGCCCCGTCGACGCTCTGACGTCTCCGAGCTCCTTCTGTTTCCCAGAGAGGATGAAGAAGAAGAAGAAGCAGGAGGAAGAGGAGGAGGAGGAGGAGCCGGGGGCTTCGCAGGAACTGCAGCCTCTCATGTTACCAGTGAGGCCCCCAGTGCTGCCACCTCCTCCCTCACCTCCTCTCCCACCGCCTGCTACAGGGAGGAGGAGGAACCCCTGCGTGTACCTGAGGAGCCTGGTGACAGCGCCCCCACCTGGCAGCGGTGAGCTGCACAGCCGCCGCCCCACCCAGCTGTGAGTGGGGCTACAGCGCGTGGGTGGGGTCGACCAGCAGGACATCAGCTCGCCATCTGTTTGCTCTTACCTCCGCCCTGTTCTGGGATCAGTCAGACCAACCAGGACCTCACAAACATCACCTGATCCAGCTGCCAGAATCCTACATCACCTGCTGATACAGGTTAAACATACAGGAAGTACACGTGACACGTTCAGGCCAAGACATCAGCATCAGAGATAGACAGAGCATCATGTGGCATTATGATGACAGGACCATCATCATCTTCAAGTCAGAGAGAGTCAATACTTACTGACTTCCTGTTTGGTTCAATCAGATTTCCTGTTTGGTTCAATCAGACTTCCTGTTTGGTTCAATCAGATTTCCTGTTTGTTTCTATCTGACTTCCTGTTAGTTTCAATCTGACTTCCTGTTTGTTTCTATCTGACTTCCTGTTTGTTTCTATCAAACTTCCTGTTTATCTTTATCTGACTTCCTGTTTGTTTCTATCTGACTTCCTGTTTGTTTCAATCTGATTTCCTGTTTGTTTCAATCTGACTTCCTGTTTGTTTCAATCTGACTTTCTTTTTGTTTCCATCTGACTTCCTGTTTGTTTCCATCTGACTTCCTGTTTGTTTCAATCTGACTTCCTGTTTGTTTCTATCTGACTTCCTGTTTATCTCTATCTGACTTCCTGTTTGTTTCTATCTGACTTACTGTTTGTTTCTATCTGACTTCTTGTTTGTTTGTTTCTATCTGACTTCCTGTTTGTTTCTATCTGAATTCCTGTCTGGTAAACTTCCTCTCAGCGGTTTTAGTGTAATTGGACTTGTTTGTGTTGAATCTGTCGGCTGAATGTTTCTTCAGAACTGAGCACAACGTCTGATTGTGTGTTTGTTGTTGTAACGTGTCACTGCTGCTGTCAGACACTAAACCTGCTGAAAGCTGCACAGGTGGATTACAGCTCCAATTCCAATGAAATCGTGTAAAGCATAAATAAAAACAGAATACAATGATTTGCGAGGCCTTTTAAACCTACATTTAACTGAATACACAACAAAGACAAGACATTTATTCTTCAAATGGACAACATTTTTTTGCAAAACCTCATACATTTTGAATTTGATGCTGCAACACGTTCCAAGAAGCTGACACATGGTCGTGTTTCCCACTGTGTTCCATCAGCATTCCTTTTAACAACACTCAGTGAGTGTTTATGGACTGACGACACTAATTGTTAGCTGTAGCTGAAGTTCTTTAAATTTTTGCTTGATGCTGCTCTACAGTCTGGCATTTTTGTTGTTATATTTTTCAACAGGAGACAGGTGTGGACTGCAGGCAGGCCAGTCCAGTACCTGCACTCTTTTACCACAGAGCCACGCTGTTGGAACACATGCATTGTCTTGCTGAAATCAGCAGAGTCTTGGCTTGGATGGCACACATGTTGCTCCAAAACCTAAATGTATCTTTCATCATTAATGCTGTTTTCACAGATGTCACAGTTACCCACCAATACACCCCATACCATCAGAGAGGCTGGCTCTTTAACTTTGTGCTGATAACAACCCAGACAGTCATTTTCCTCTTTGAGGACACTACATCCATGATTTCTGAAAAGAAATGTGGACTCGTCAGACCACAGGACACTTTTCCACTTTGTGTCAGTCCATCTCAGATGAGCTAGGGTCCAGAGAGGCCGGAGGTGTTTCTGGGTGTTGTTGATATTTGGCTTTGTCTTTGCATAATAGAGCTTTGTCTTTGATGGGAGGACCATCACCATCTTCAAGTCAGAGACAGAGTCAATACTTACTGACTTCCTGTTTGTTTCCATCTGACTTCCTGTTTATTTCCATCTGACTTCCTGTTTGTATTTATCTGACTTCCTGTTTGTATTTATCTGTCTTCCTGTTTGTTTCCATCTGACTTCCTGTTTGTTTCAATCTGACTTCCTGTTTGTATTTATCTGACTTCCTGTTTGTTTCCATCTGACTTCCTGTTTGTATTTATCTGACTTCCTGTTTGTTTCCATCTGACTTCATATTTGTTTCTGTCTGACTTTCTGTTTATTTCTGTCTGACTTCCTGTTTGTTTCTGACTTCCTGTTTGTTTCCATCTGACTTCCTGTTTGTTTCTGACTTCCTGTTTGTTTCCATCTGACTTCCTGTTTGTTTCTGACTTCCTGTTTGTTTCCATCTGACTTTATGTTTGTTTCTATCTGACTTCCTGTTTGTATTTATCTGGCTTCCTGTTTGTTTCCATCTGACTTCC